TTTCGTGCCAATCCCTTCTAGTTTGCCAAGTTTCTGTTGAGAAATTGGCTGACAGTATATCGAAGCTCTTTTGTAAGTAACTAGCTGCCTTTCTCTTGCTACTTTTAGGATTCTCTCTTTGTCTTTAACCTTTGACATTTTAATTATGATGCATCTTGGTGTGGACCTGTTTGAATTCTTCTTGTTTGGGATTCTGTGCTTCCTGGGGTTGTATGTCTGTTTACTTCACTAGGTTAGGGAACTTTTCAGTCATTATTACTTCAAATAGTTTATCAATTCCTTGCTCTTTCTTTTCTTCTTCTGGTACCACAATGATGCGAATGTTGTTAGGCTTGATGCCACCCCAGAGTTCTCTCATTCTAAATTGCTGATTCAGTTCTCTGCTTCATCTAATCTGCTGTTGTTTCCTTCTAGTGTATTCTTTATTTCAGTTTTATTTTTCATTTTTGACTGGTTCTTCTTTATGGTTTCTGTGTCCTTTTTAATGCTTACTATCTCATTGTGGAAGTTTTCGCTGATTTTATATATTCTTTGCCTAAGTTTATTGAGCATGTTTTGAACTCTGTATCTGGTAGGTTGCTTGCCTCCATTTTGTTTAGTTCTTTTTCTGGAGTTTTATTTTTTCATTTTGACTTCCTCTCTCTGTTTATGTATTAGGTAGATCTGCTACGTCTCCCAATTGTAGCTGGGTGGCCTTATTGTAGTAGGTGTCCTGTGTGGCCCAGTGGCACAGTCTCCCTGATCACCTGCTCCATGTGCTCCAGGAATCACCCTTGTGTGGTTGTGTGTGCCCTCCTGTTGTAGTTGAGCCATAATTGTTGTTGGCACATCAGTGAGTAGAATTGACTTCAGGCTGAATGGCTGTGAGGATTGGCCATGTCTGCTATGTATGAGCTGCTGTGTGGGGAGCTCACCCCAAAAAGTGGAATTCACCCAGCGGACTCATGTGCTTGTTTAGACCACTCTTTGGTTGTGTTGCTTGTGGAGCTAATCAGGTCATATTTTGTTGAGGTCTAAAGCCAACCTCCCAGTGTGGGTTCTAGAGCCTCTTGGGAGGTCCAGGGTCAGCCATTGCCTGTGATTAGCCCGGGGCTACCTGGTAGGAGCTACAAAGCTATTCTAAGTTGGTCGCTGTCTGTGCTTGACCTAGTGGTCAGTTGCCACTGGTACTGGGTCTGGGGCAGCTTAGCAAAAGGCTCAGGGCACCCCAAGGCCTGAGGCTGCCTCCTGGCTTTGGTAAGGTTCAGTAGCTGAAAAAGCCTCAGGCAGCACACGAGTTGGGTTAGGCCAGTCCCAAGGAGTCACCATGGTAGGGCTAGTGATGTTCACCAGATTAGTGCAGGTTCAGAATTGGTGCCAGTACCGAGCCTGTGGCCATTCCCAAGTCTCAGATCACTCCAAGACCACCGCAGCCCACCTCGGATCTACAGACACCTGGGAATTTTTTTTTTTTTTTTTTTTCTTTTTCAAGAAATACAGCTGCATGGGCTGGGCCTGCCTGCCTGCCCTGGAATTGTCTCTAGAGGAATTGTCTCTAGAGCTATGAGATCTGAGGCCTCTTGATGGCTACTGGTGGAGCCTCCTGCTGAGAGCTCAGGGTGAGGCTGGTTGCCCAGCCCAGAATATGCCCCCAGCAATTTGCGAGTTGGGTGGAATGTGGTCACAGGGAGTCACCAGGGTGGAGTGAGCCAGAAGAGTTCATCAAGACAATGCAGATTTAGATCTGGTCATGTGGTGGGAGGGCTCAGCACAAACAGATGGCACCCGCCTGTAGGGTGCAGAGGAGAAGGGCTCACCAGAGGGATAATGGTGGCTGTCCCTCCAGCCCTTGCCCTGAAGCCACACAACTCTGGCACTTTCCGTCTCTGGCACTTTGCAAGCTGCTGTTCCTCCTCCAGAGCCCAAGGTGAGTGCCTGCGAGTGAGTGATTCTGTATGTGGTCCCTTTAAGGGAATGTTTGGGTTTCTAGCAGCCTTTCATCTCACCTGGACAGGCAGAATCCGTGCTGACTTTTACACTGAGATTTTGTGGGAACTCCTTTTTCTGGCACTGAAACCTTTTCTGGGAAGCCCTAGTGTGGGGCTGGGGCCCTCTGCAACTATGATAGCCCTCCCTATGCTCAACCACCACACCCTGGTGCAGTGCTAACCTGTTTCGTGTCTTTGCCTCTCTTATGATATGTCTTGATGTAACATCTTCTTTAGGTATTAGAGTTATGTTCACCTAGTCTTCAGGTGGTTCTCTAGGTTGATTGCTCTATAATTTAGTTGTGATTTTAAAGTGGTTATGAGAGGAGGCGAGCACAGCATTTACCTACTCTGCCGTCTGGATCAGAACTCAATGGTTGAATTGTTTCTAATGTAGTTAAAATGAATATATTTGAGATAGCACTGCTATTTCTACAGTGTACATATTCACAAGTTAAAGTGTTTAATGCAGTATTTTATAGTAAAGAAGACTAAAAGGAATGGCTTTAGTAGAACTCATAAATTTTCTTTGCATAAATATAAATAATACAAGGTTTATTAGAATATTTGAGGCCAAATTCTCTGATTCTTTAATTTCAAACACACATACACAAATGCTGCTTAATATTTATTGAAACTAACTAAAAGTGTTGACGGTTAAACCACATTTAATTTCCAGGTTCCTAAGCTGTAAGGCATCAGAAGTCAATGTTTTCTTAAATCTGACTAAAAGCTCAAGGTCACAGAGGCATTTTGTGTTGTTCTGAATTATTCCAAAAATAAAGTGTTCTCTGGAAAATCCAAGTGAAGTATAAGTAAAGGCCTTTTTTAAAAAAAAAAAAAAATGAAGACTCACATTTTAGCAATATGGCATGCAGTATGTGGTGTGTTACAAATTATGGGGTCATTGTTTTGAAAATTACAGACCAGTTTCAACATCTGGTCTTTAGGACACTTAATTGTGGACCAGAAAGAAGTCTGTTCATACTCTGGTGTTTGAAATGAACTTTAATGATTTCCAGGCCCAGAGAAACCTTTGTGCTGCAGCTGCTTTTCAGAAAAGGAGATGGAAGAAGAAGGGTTCTTTATATTTTGTGTGTGAGACCAAATCTTCCACCATCTCTAATGAGGTTCCCATCGTATGGCTGCCTTCAGAATCTTAAAAGGCCTTGAAGCTATTAAGAGTTGGTGTTAGGGTGATAAGGTTACAAATTACAAATTATGAGATAATTGACTTATTTTTTTATGTAAATCCAGTTGGAATCGTTACAAAGAGAGACTCATTTTTTAAGAGGGTAATATTCAGTTGTCCTGGTGGGTGCTAGTTTATTCTGCTTCAGAAACATTAATTATTACAGCATTAGTCACCTTTGCAAAAAAGGTTCTGCTTCTAGAAAAATTAACATTAAATTTACTGAAAATGGTCAGCTTGCATGTCAGCTGCCATTTATTGAGGGCCTTCTCTTATAGTAAGCACTTTATAAATGTTATTGCCAATTCTAGCAACTCTGAAAAACATTGTTTCCAATTTTACAGATGAGAAAACTGAGGTTTAGAGAGGTTAAGTAACTTACCCTGGATCATACATTTATTAAGTAGCAGAATCAGGGATGTGATCCTGGGCCTACTCTGCCCAGACTCTTTCCACTACTCTATACTGTCTGTCATGGCACATTGCCTTTCAGGTGACATGCTTCCAACTTCAAATACAAAGTACATATTTATGGTTAGGAAAAAAGATGTGTATGTATACATACGTACACACACATGAATATACATATACATATATATGTACGTAAAATATATGTAAATACATTCTTTTTTTAATAAAACATTTTAGAAATGTATCACAGGCAATAATTTGGTCAGCAGTACAAATTGACATTAGGTGTAGCACTACCGAATCATTACTTTTGCTAGAAAACCATAGGCTGATTTGTTGTTTTATATGCCTTATACTTTTGCCTGATTCTGTCTCCTTTACCCCCACTCAGATTCCTTAACACCTTGATGCTTCTGTTAAACATATTTTTAGATACCAATGCTCTTCAGCATATAGTGCTCTAAAAGGTATTTTTATTCTAAGTGAGAAAATTCACCGATATTTGGTTGTAGAAAGTATTGACTTGCATGCTGAACAAAAAAAGAAAAAATAAGCAACTTGAAAGGATAATGAGAAAAATGGAGAGAAGAATGTCAATGAAGGGGCATGAAAAGATGATAGGTCTGGTGAAGTAAAGTAAGACTACCCTCTAACTGTAGCCATCAGTCCCAGTTTTACCAGTCCCTTCTATCCAGAGTCAGAAAACAGAAGTACAGCTTAAGTTTATGCATTTGAAGTTATTAGACATGTTTCTCTTTACCCCTTCCCCCAGCCACACACACATAGTATTAATTGGGATGTCAGAATGCAAGTATGTCCACAGATAATTTTTTGCCTGCGTTTTGTGAGTATGGTTGCTTTGATATCCCTATGTTCTTCATGTTTATACCTGTTCATTAGATGAATATACTATTTATGCGATTGAAAAAATTAAGAACTTTCATCTACTTTCTATATAGCCATTGTAAGCTAGCTATTTAAAATATATTTTTAGAATCTGTGTACCCAAGATTTTACAAGTGATAGAAGACTTTTGGTTGGATACTTGAGATAAACACAAACATGCTTTTAATTCTAAAAAAAGTAAAAGCTGATTAAAATGTAAATCAGTTATAGCTACCAGGTTTTTCAGGAAAATGGTAGTTATATAAAATTTCTACCCTATAACAATTGTGAAAACACAGAACAAAATCGATCCCTTAACATGATATATAATTATTATATATTTTATATTCTTGTATTAGAAAGTACTAATTTGGGGATGCATTGTTTTCCTCTCAGTTCAACAAGTATTTCACATCTGTTTTCTATAAGGTGCCAAATGGGGGCTTCTGGTTTGGACTCAGATCACATCTCTTCTTTTACAGTTTGAAATCATTCACTGTTAACAGTTCAATTGTCAAGGAAAGTTGTTTCTATTCTAATTTCAGTGATGAAGAACGATACAGATATAGGGAGTATGCAGAAAGAGGTTATGAGCGTCACAGAGCAAGTCGAGAGAAAGAAGAACGACATAGAGAAAGACGACACAGAGAGAAAGAAGAAACTAGACACAAGTCATCTCGAAGGTTTGCTCTTTAATAAAATAGTGAATCACTTTGAAGCTAATAGAGAAATTAATTCTATTTCAGGAAATAAAAGTAAACATTTCCCAATAGCCAGTAGGGCATAAATCTAACAAGACTATGTTTAATTACCTTTAAACCAAAATTAGCATGGAATATAAAATATGTGAGAATTAGACTTATTATCGGAGAGGGAAAATTTGGCATATGAACCAGTCTTTAATAGTATTATTAAAGCAATTTTCAGTTTAATCAAAGAAAATGCAGGGCCTTATATTCTCCAGAAAAACAAATGAGTATTAAATTTTAATGCCTATTATTTGCTTAAAATCAACCCTAGAAAGTATTTCCTGTTCTAATCTAGTGCTTCAGTGTCTCATTTGT